GAGATGGCATCGTATACATATTAATCACTACACACTTATTTTCAAGTAAAAAATGCGTGTATGTATGTGTACTTTTGCGACAACTGAGCCAGTGTGGCATCAGACCACCAGAAAAAGTTAATTTTTCCAAAACAAAAGCTCCAAGTTTTTATTATCATGTTTAATAATTTTTTTGATTCAGTAAAAAGTGCATATACATATCCATTTCCTCACGTTGTTATATATAAATTAATTTCAATACATTTATAACAACGCAAAACATATTTAATTTACCTATTCCTCACAATTTATCCAGTAAATGAATTCCATCTTAATGTAGAATATTAGTGTATACATACACACTTATGTACCTATGCATTCGGTGTGCTTAAATTAAAAAAGCATCACTAAATACCGCACCAAGCATTGAATTCCAATTATTTTGGCTTTTTGGTTTCCCAAAAGCACTAAATTTAGTGCAAAATGCACGACCTTGGCAACAGTGAGCTGAGCACATCAATGCTCAAACAGTGATGCCAGACCAAGTATTGAGTAAATGCGCTATGTATATTTTTCTTTTAAAGCAAAAGTTCTAATTGGCGAGGGTATTGATTTTTGGTTCTTACATAGAACACTGATAAGATTCACAAACTTATCTTAGGACTTAATTAAAATAATCAACATTATTTGTAGACGAATATATTTGTGTTCGTATGAAATAGTAGCTTATGTCGGGAGGCTGGCTTTAGTAAAATGTACCATTTCCTATATTCTTTAAACCACAAGGAATTTTTTTATGAAATCTTATACNAGGCCACCAGAAAAAGCCAATTTTTCCAAAACAAAAGCTCCAAGTTTTTATTATCATGTTTAATAATTTTTTTGATTCAGTAAAAAGTGCATATACATATCCATTTCCTCACGTTGTTATATATAAATTAATTTGAATACATTTATAACAACGCAAAACATATTTAATTTACCTATTCCTCACAGACATTTTAAAATTAATTGTACTGAAAAAAGTACAATTGTACTTAAAATATCATCACTGTTTCACTGGCGCTGTACTTGCTGCAGCGATGCCAAATTTGAGCGTACCCAATTTTTTACCGATAATAACTCATGCGAGGGATTTGGGTATTGGGCATTTTACAAGCCTATTAGGAAGTATACATATCTGTGTTCGTATAGAATAGTAGCTTATGTCGGAAGACTGGCTTTAGTATAATGAACCATTCACAGCATACGAATGCGAAAGACTCACTGGCGCCGAGTCGTTGAAGAACTCTTGGAAAATAAACGTAAAAGACGGTAATGTTAATGGCGATGCTAGCAAGTCAAAATTCGTATAAGATTTCATAAAAAAATTCCTTGTGGTTTAAAGAATATAGGAAATGGTACATTTTAATAAAGCCAGCCTTCCGACATATGCTACTATTTCATACGAACACAAATATATTCGTCTACAAATAATGTGGATTATTTTAATTAAGTCCTAAGATAAGTTTGTGAATCTTATCAGTGTTCTATGTAAGAACCAAAAATCAATCCCCTCGCCAATTAGAACTTTTGCTTTAAAAGAAAAATATACATAGCGCATTTACTCAATACTTGGACTGGCATCACTGTTTGAGCGTTGATGTGCTCAGCTCACTGTTGCCAAGGTCGTGCATTTTTCACTAAATTTAGTGCTTTTGGGAAATCAAAAAGCCAAAATAATTGGAATTCAATGCTTGGTGCGGTATTTAGTGATGCTTTTTTAATTTAAGCACACCGAATGCATAGGTACATAAGTGTGTATGTATACACTAATATTCTACATTAAGATGGAATTCATTTACTGGATAAATTGTGAGGAATAGGTAAATTAAATATGTTTTGCGTTGTTATAAATGTATTCAAATTAATTTATATATAACAACGTGAGGAAATGGATATGTATATGCACTTTTTACTGAATCAAAAAAATTATTAAACATGATAATAAAAACTTGGAGCTTTTGTTTTGGAAAAATTAACTTTTTCTGGTGGTCTGATGCCACACTGGCTCAGTTGTCGCAAAGAGTACACATACATACACGCATTTTTTACTTGAAAATAAGTGTGTAGTGATTAATATGTATACGATGCCATCTCCGTACAGCTCACTTCACCTCGCCTAGCACGCTCGCGTGCTTACAGTTTGCCCGCGACGTCGACTGCGTGCACCTCTGCTGTGCATCCCTAGCGTAGATGATGCAAACGAAGCAGTGACTCGTTGTCCCGATTTGTATGATATTCTGATTAAAGACAAATTCGAGGTATGTAAGTGGAACTCCAACAGGCCGGAAGTCTTGAAGGCTCTTAATGGCTTCGCGGTGTCTGCCTCAGAAATGGATTTGGGTGAGTATCATACTAAGGTCTTAGGAATACAGTGGGACCCAATACGTGACGAACTGTTCTATAAGGTGCGAGTATATCAAGACGAAGGAAGCTTACTAAATGTTCCGTGCTGAGCAAAGTCGCGCGGTTATACGATCCGATTTGAATGTTGGCTCCAATTGTGGTATCCGCGAAAATATTCATACAAGAACTGTGGAAGGCCAATATATGTTGGGACACGCCACTGCCAGCTGACTTGAAGAAACGGTGGATTACATTTCGAAATGGACTAGTCGAAGTAGGTCGAATTCGCATACCCGCTGGATTGGCATGCACCGTACTGGCCCTGCGACGCTGCAGGGATTTTGCGACGCGAGCAGTAAAGCCTACGCTTCTGTGATTTACGTGAGAAATGAAACCTTGGGCGGAGATTTTCGTGTTGCCCTGGGTGCAGCTAAAGCTAAGGTCGCACCGGTAAAACATATTACCATACCCCGATTAGAGCTGAGGGCAGCCCTCCTCCTCGTGGCTACTTTAGAAAATGTTCGTAAAATTCTACATCTCGAGAATGTACAATATACCTTTTGGAGTGACACGGCTAGCGTCCTTCACTGGATACGCAAGCCGCCATCAACATTAAAGCCATTTGTTGCAAATCGTGTGGCTTTTATTCAAGAAAACTCCAAGGTGAACTGCTGGAACCATATACCCTCAGAATCCAATCCTGCGGATTGTGCAAGCCGAGGAGTGGCTCCAGCCGCTCTGGAGGGACATGCGCTTTGGTGGTCTGGGCCGTCATGTATTCGTCCGACACCTACCTGAGTAACAACGATGCCCGAACTGA